GGTTTTGAAATGCATCGTCTCTGCAAGGCCTGTACTTACCTGAGCAATGAGAGAGGAGCAGGAGGAGAAGAGGAGTCCAGGCCATGGCGGAAGCAGCCCTCTGATCCCAACAGTGGCTGGAGTGGCCCAGGCCTCCTTTTCTTGCTCAGTGCCTGTGGGAGGAGCTGTTCACACAAATGTGTTTCCATCCTGTCTGCCCAGCCCCTCCCTGAGGCCTGGTGCTGGAGCTCACCTCACTGTAAAATGAGGAGGAGAAATTGACATCTTCTTTGTGCAAATCAAGGAAGGCAGCATCTGCTGAAAGAAGATCAAACATTTTCTTGAGGTGCTCTGCACTGCAACAGATGACACCGCAGCTGAGCCTGCCAGTGAGCGCTGCTCCCAACGCTCTATGCCACTTTATCCAGTTTGGAAGAGTCTCCTAAATGGACACAAAGCTTAGTAAACCTACATTTTTTTTTTTGGCTAAAGTCCTTGGTGGGATGGTGAGTTAAGAGGTTCAACATCAGAGTCACTATGGTTCTGTAGATTTTGAGCTCTCATTTCACCATCTGTTGGTGAATAATTTACTAGCTCTTAGTTAATTTGAATGTCTCCAGTTGTTTTTACAACTCAGTGTGCTCCACAGTGCATTCACTCCTGGAGCTTACCTTCTATATTCAGTCATTTCTCCCTCAATCATCCTCTTCCATATGCTTTTTTTTTTTTTTTGGTACCTGGAAGCTCACTCCATATTCCTCCACCTTCTGCTCATGAACTCATGTGACCTCATCCAACCCACTGGTCACCAAAAACAGGGATCAAACCCATGTGCCTCTCTGTCCTTTGTCCCTGTGGTCCTGTTTCTTAGCATCTCCTCTTCAATCAACGGAGCATCCTCAACTCAACATGGAGCAGCAGGGATGATCTTGGCCTGAGATCTCTGCATCTCCTCGGATTCCTGGTCATATAACTGACATGTTTATGCTGCATTTCTATGTGCAGTTTCTCCGTTCATTCAGGCTGTGCTATGGGGTCTGTATATTGAGCAGTGAACAAAAGAAAACTAACAACAAATCTACAGCAAACAAATAAAAAAATTTTCATTCTTAAAATATTTAGTACCTACTGGAGGAAAAACACCATCATGAAGCAGAGAACCATGATGTCTTACGTGACACAACACTGACCATGCTCTCCCAGCACACCTGGAGCCCACCGCCTTCTGCTGAGACTTTGAAGGTGTGTTGATACTGATCCTATGCCTGCTCTGTCTACAACCCACAGTTTCTACGCTTCCCTGTCCACTGACAATAGCCTCAGTTCAGGTGTTGGTTCCTGTGCAACAGGGCCATGCAGAGTCCCCAGTATGTCTTTGCCCTGCTAGACCTTGTTTTATTTCACTCTGGCCATAGTATTCAGATTCATGTATCTGTGGAGGGCAGTGAAACTCCCCTTTAGGTCTTGAATCATAGAGTTAGTGGAGACTTCTCTGCTCTCCTGTGTGAGAAACTATTTCGTTTTTCTTTTCCACACTGTGAGACCAAGACACAAGGAAATGGTTTAAGATGAGTGTTGTCCAAGGCACACCCTCTATGAACACGAACATTGTGCATCAGGATTGTAGCTTTTTGTCTCCAGGAAAATACACAGCTTCTTGATTTGAGTAGCAGCCCATCAGTCCTTATGGTGTCCACAGATAACAGATGAGGCGATGTTAGCGATTCTTGTATGAGTGCCCTGTGGATGGTTCTCCAACAAAAAAGTTAAACCCCAACATGTGGGCTGTGACAACCACACATGAACAGTTTCCTGTGTGATAAAAGCTCTGGAAATGTGTAACACTTTGTAGATATTTTCTGTAACTAAAGCTGGCAGGACTCAAGAAAGAGAGATCACTCTTTTTCTTAAATTAATTTTATTCATAAAGAAATAGCAAGGAGACAGTTTCAAAACAGGTTAGCAGGACAGTTACAATAATTAATACATTGTATATAGTTGTCTTCATAGTAGTTATTCATAGTACAACATGCAGACATGATATTGCCTAAAACCCATTGGTACCAATCTTTCTTCGCATTGAACTAAGAAAAGGAATCTGTGTACGTATCCTATTTTGTATAAACAGATACACACACACACACACACACACACACACACACAATTTTCCCACTGGAAAGTGGTCCTTCATTTATATCCACCTTTTTGGCTTAGTTTTGTCAAAGATGGATAGTCCAATCCCATTCAAATATTGTAAGCATGGGAGTTCAGCAAAATAATCCAATATAGTCCGGTAGTCCATAATAGTGTGGTTCATCCGAAGGACTGGCAGACAGGACTGAGTGGAACTAACTTAAATATAAATTCCCAATTTAAAATCTGCTTAGCTATGTAGACATAATGCTTGCTCTTGCTGGCAAAAATACAAACCCATTAGTTACAAAAGTTTGTCAACTGCTAAATATCACTACCTGTTATTAGTGTTCCTAATTACAGTTCAGTAAATACAAGACCACTCTTAAGTATGTGGAGAATTACAAATTACTGCACAATATAGTAGCTCTCTAGGCACGGGGTGGGGAGGCTTCTTCTAAACTGATGGTCAAGACAATGGAAGAGTGTAGGCACAGTTTATATCAGCCAGAAGATCAGCTCAGGTTGTCATCTGCATGTTCTACTGGTGGTCACACAGAATCTGTCTCCACTGCTGTATTCTGTCCCACAGTGGTGGCCAGAATCTTTTTAGTTCTCGATGTTCCTGAATGCTCAGGTACTCATTCAGTCCAGAGTGGAGTGTTGAGTCTTCATCAGAGACCAGCTCCTACCTACTGACCACACCATTACCACTCATCACCTCGGGAGCAGAGTGAGACTCACTCCGTAGAGACATTGAATGGTTTGAAGCTAGAAACACCTCTCTGTGCGTGCGTGCATGCGTGTGTGTGCGTGCATGCATGCATGTGTGTGTGTGCTTGCGTGCGTGTGTGTGTGTGTGTGTGTGCGTGCGTGTTTAAGTCTGTAGAATTCATGAAACTATAGGAACTTTCATCTTGGTCTTCATTCATGGGAAACTGGATGACCCACTCATAAGATAATGGCCCATGTTAACCCTGAGAAGCAAGAGCCTTAGAAAGCATTTCCATAGGTAACCTAAAATGTTTTGCCTCAAATATTTTGGAACCCTTAATCTGTTCCATTAAAATCAGGTTTCTCTTCTTTACCAACAAATAAATTTTTAGAATTACACTATCTTTAAGACATTATGAGTGTGACAGACCAGAAAAAATATAAACAAAACAAAGGTATCTTGGTATGGATATCCTTGGATAACTTGCCTGTGTATTGGTGATATAGTATTCAGACAAATACAAATATTTACTTAGGATTTTCATAATTTTCCTCCTACCCATCTGTAAGTCTTCTGTCTTACCTCAGTTATACTCAGAACAGCAAGAAAAGTCCAGTCTCATTCATTATGAAAATGAAAACATTAGCACCATGTCCTTTTATGTAATTTTAAATCACTGAATCACAAATCAAAATTTAGAGGCTATTACAGATTATTTGTTTTTTCATGAGATTCGAACAAAGTTATTTGCTAATTTGAGATGAAGAATATAGTTAAATTGTAATTAAACTCATGTCTGCTTAGCGCAGATAGAAGTTATTTTCACATTTCACAAGGGGTCAGAGTCTAATTTCCAGGCAGGCTGGTGATTTTTTGGCACTTCTGCATCAGAAGGTGTTACTGTGAACAGCACTGTCATGCCAGAAGATGCAGAATAGGCAGCTTCATCCTAGGCTGCCGCCCAGAGACATGCAAATCTCCTGCATTGGTTGAGGTGTCCTTTGACCCAGAGAAGTGGCTGGGAACACCAGAATTTTGTTTCTTTTCTGAGCCTGAGGTGTAGTATAGGAGGAACTTGGAAGGGCTCCCTGGCTGTTAGTACCAGTACACATTGTGTACAAAAACACAAATGTCATTTTTCAGGGTGCAAGTAATTCTGGCCAGATAGAGAGTAGTGAGATAGATTGTTGAGGATGGGGAGCAACCAAACTGCAGGAGAGGACGATGGAGGGAGAAGGAGAAGGGGATGTAAAAGTAATAAGACTTCTTATGTACACCCAGCAGCTGCCCACAAGGAACATGATTATTATGTATTATACAACTACACTAATATCTATAAATATTGAACAAAATCAGTAACATGAATACAACCCAGGCTCAACTATATTTCTCTTTACTGGAGTTATAAAGTATGATTTTAGTGCCTATATAGTGGGGAGAATGCTTCACGTGACCAAAAGTGTTCAGAGATGCCAAAGCTCACCAGGTATCCTCTGTAGCATCACTTCAATTCAGCACAACATGGAAGGATGTCAGATGAGATTTGGCCCTTGGAAACGAAGCCAGCCCAGAGAAGATACGTGAGTGTCTTCATAATGTTATGAAACAAAAACTCATTAATACAGAGAGAGGGTTAGCTATTCCTGGGATGAAGCTGCAAGTGAAGATGGAGGACTGCGAAGGACACAAGGCATCTTGGGGGTTGGTACTGGATTACCTCATCTGATGTTCAAAAAGGGAAAAAAATATTTCAAATTTTTAAAAACATTTTGCTGTAATATAACTAGTATTTTTAAAAATGTATCCACTGCTCTGAGTAAGAAAAGGTATATTAAAATAGTCAAAAAATAGTCTACAACATGAAGAGGGGTATGTAGTCCAAAGAGAAGATGACAGCTCTGTCACTCGTGTAAATAAGAAAGGGATGGACGATGGAGACTCAGGATTCCCTGTCAGAGGTCAAGTATGGGACCAGCGGAGTTGCATGGTCACCGCTGACGTTTAGGGTATAGAGGTCACAGGACTCTCTTAATTCTTTTTTATGCCAAAGAGTGCCAGTAACTAGTGCTTACATGGAGAACTTTCCTAGGAACAGCCTACAGATGAGTGACTTACGGTGCAGAGGGGAGGAGGAATGTCAGCCCAAGCATCGTCGCTGGACGTACCTGAGACTTTACACTGATAGCAAAAATGAAAACCACAGGCCAGGCCTGAGCCACAGGTCCTGGGGATTCACCCTCCTGATAAAAGAGGAAGAAGCTTTTGTGTTAGCTTCACCATGGGGCTGGAGCACTGTGTGAGCACTGAGGCTGCTATCATAAGACTGGCAGAAATAATCAGCCTCGTCCTCAGATTGCAACCCACTGACGGTCAGGGAGGCTGAGCTGCCAGATTTGGAGCCAGAGAACCGACCAGAGACCCCAGATGGTCGATTGCTATTCCCATAGATGATGAGTTTGGGAGCCATTCCTGAGAGCTGCTGGTACCAGCTGACATAATAGTTTCCAATATTGTTGCTGCTTCCAGTGCAAGAGATGGTGACTGTCCCTCCTGGAGACCCAGACACTGAGGGAGGCTGAGTCAGCACAGCCTGAGCCCAGGAACCTGCAAGTGGGAGAGACATAGAGATGGTGATACAGTTCTAAGACCAAAGTGAATGCAGGTCCCCCCATGTCCTTAGCCCTCTCTCTGCCTGCTATCTCCCCACCTGTGCAGTGAGCTAGGAGGCTGAAGAGGAGAGGGCACCAGGCCATGGTGGAGGCCATCCCTAAGTCCTGCCTTCTGAGCCCGCAGTAGAGCAGAGCATCCCTCAAGTCTCTGGCTAGACCTCTTCATATCTGAGAGGAGGAGGCTCCACCCATGCAAATGGGGATCCTACCAGGTTTCTAATCTCACCCTGGGTTCTGGCTTAGTTCACTGACACTAAAAGATATCCTTGTGTAGGGCAGGGTGGGGATGGATTGGCTTTGGTGATGGGAGAGTTTAAACTGTACAAATTGAACAAAAGAAGTGTGTATGGAGTTGGTGCTTTATAACTCACTCTAATCATTGGCCTACGTCACTAATTAAAGGGCTGCCAGTGCCCAATAATTTCCAGAATCTAAAACCCCAGTCTGTGACTTTGTGGCTACAGACCCTCAGGGACAGAGTCTCCCACTCCCCTTAACTCTGGGTCACCATCACTCTGACCCTTCTGTGACTCCCACTCCCACAGGAAGCTGGATATGCAGATGCTACAAGATGCACCTGGCTTCCCATTCTGGCTTATGTTGATGACATCTTTCTTGCCATCTTATTGTCTCAAAGAGGTATTTGTATGTGTGAATCAATTTTCTGTTTTGTAACACCAAGAACAATGATTTAAGATTTCATCAATAGTTAAGTGTATTGGGATTTTAACATTGCTTGAATCTAAAGTGTGTTGAAGTCAAAAGTAATGAAACATTCTGTGACTGTCAGCTGTTTTTGTTTGTTTGTTTGGGCCGAACTGGGGACTGAACTCAGGCCCTTGAGCTTGCCAGGTGAACACTTATTCTATTGAGCTATCTCCCCAGCCCCCAGCTGCTCTTAATGTCATTAAAAGTCAATAACACAGGAAAGGATTCTCAGTGCCATTAGTTGTTAGAGTATTACGAAGTCCACAGTGAGCTACAACATCATTATCACTTGGGTGGCCTTAAGCACAGTGATAAATGACAACAACTTCTGGTAACAATGTGGGGTGGAGTAAGAAACTGTGCACAAAGTCTACAGTAAAGGAAATTTGAACTAAGTGACGGTATTTCCTTTAATAAGCTTACCTTATGGCTGAGAAATCCCTGTTATAGCTATTTTTCCCAAGAAGGATGAAGCTACATCCATCAAAACATGTGAAACCTTCATGTGTAGTAGGATTTACACCTAGATGTACTTCCAAAGCCTTGTGTGCTCATAGCTGAGGGTTTGGGGAGGTGATTGATCAGGGTTGGTGTGATAATCATCGTTGGATTGGTCCACTGTTAAGGTCACAGGTGACTTGCTATTAGGAGTTGGAATCTGGTTGGGAGAGGTGGATCACATAGGACATGGGCTGGAGGGTTGAACTCCCCGGAGCTCTGTCCTTTACTCGCTCTCTGCTTTCAGTCTCCAAGTCATGAGCTCTTTCTCCTCTGCTCCTGGCACGCATATGTCATCCTGTTCACTTTGATTTCTTTTCTTCTTGGCAATATCTGTCACCAACACCATAATCATTATACCTTTGTTAGCCTTAAAGCATATTCCTGCTAATGCTAATGACATCATAGTAGATATCACCCTTGGAAACAGGGTTCTGAGCTCCAAATCCTTCGCCAAACAAACCACTTCTGGAAAGATCACTTTCTGTATGTGTCAATGGTGACATCTGATTAGTATAAAATTGTCTTAGGGGTAAGGTGCCAAGTGGGCTTTATGTAGCATTGTTGAGAAGGTAGAAATGTGAGGAAGGGGACAACACCCCTGTGGCGATGGATGATCTAGACTATGCAAATATAAAACATAGAAAAAGTGTTAGGAAAAGGACAGGGTAGGAAACTGAATCTTAGCTGCTGTATCTTAGTTCTAACTGCAAACGAATTTCTTTATGAAAATAAAGCAGAATTATTAATCTATGCACATTCTTGGTTCTTTAACAGTTTGAAATCAATATAAACAATCTGTATCATTTAAACAACAGTTTATAGCAAATTTATATAATTGCATATGCACATAATGCTAACTATTATGAATTTTTTTTATTTTTTAATGAAAATCTGTACAGGTTTTTTTCCCATAATTTTATTGATAAACAAATAGCGATGAGACAGTTTCAAGCCAAATTGGTAGGACAATTTCAATAATTAACACATTGCATACATTCTTCCTAGTGGTTATTTGCTGTACAAGATGCGGATATGATATCCTATTTACAAACACCATTAGAACAAATCCCTCTATTCATTAAGAGAAGGTAACTATATATCTATTCTAACCATTTTGAATACACAGATACAAAATGGACATTCATCTGTATCCCTTTTTTGTTTAGTTCCGTCATTTGAATGTTATAGGTGTGTTAACTCAGAAAAATATTCTAAAAGAGTCCAGTATGAAATTACTTTAGTGAGCTTTGTCGGTGTTCTCAACTTGAAACACAACATTTAGTTAATCATTCCTTCAAACATCCAATATTTTTTTACCTGAAAACATGTCTACCGCTTCTATATGTGCAATGCACCACTGCGGTCTTAGTAGTGAAAAGAAAATAGGGAAAAGGTGGGTTTTTACCTCCCTTCTGTACAAGCCTACATCATGGCAAGCATAAAGTTCTTCCTGTGGTCTCAAATTTAAATAACAAGTATAACCTGGAGGGTGGAGTGAAGACATGGTCAGAGAGCAAACCTGCCTACCTGGATCCAGGGAACACTTTTGAGAACCCCGAGGGCCAGGTGAGGGCTTGGTAGTTATAGAGAGCACTTCCCAGTCCTCATGGAGGCCCAGGAAAATTATATTTCGAATCTTGTGGATATGTTATTAGAATTCTGGTGGGTGAATTCCAATTTACTTCTTTCATTGCACCCCATAGAACAAAAGAAGAGAGCCAAGGGGTCCTAGATGCAGCTACAGTGATGCTTAAGTAGAACAAAGTTCTGCACCTAGGGCCAAACCTGAGGTTATTAATCTCTGAAGAAGGGAGTGGCTTGAGGATAAGTGGCTGTGAGAATGGCAGGAAGCACGTGAGAGCCATGTGCTGTTCTGGGAATGAGGCCTGAAGTCACCACTGCGATATGCAGAGAGAAGAGTATGCAGAGAGAGTAATCTGCGGAACAGGGCAGAGATGTTTGTAATGTTTTGGATCGTGCTTCAGCTCTGGTGTGCATTCTTTATGTCCCGGGAAGTCATGGCCTTTGATCTTAGGCTGATCCCAGCCTACAGCGCGGGTCACTGCTCTCAGTCCTGCTTAGATGCCCACTTGCTTTTCTTTTGTGGGCTTGGGGGTGGGGATGTAGCAGGCAGGGAAACACTGTCCTGCAGACTTTCACTGTCCTAGAGCTTTATCATGTTCACATTCAGGGCAAGGTGGCAGACACAGAAAATTGTGCTTGTGAGACGAGCTGAAAATGGTTTCAGTACCTAGTGGAGTTTCCCACCAGGGCAAACCATCCCTCACATAGACAGAGAGCAAGGTGGATTACAGGGAAGACAGCTGATCCTGAGTGAGGAGCTAAAGACCTTGCATCTAGGGACCAGAGCAGAGTACACTTGCTGCAGCTTCTCCTTCATTCTCCTTAAGACCCTGGAGGACACTGAAAGGAGCAATTAATGCTTCAAAGTTTTCCCTCTCCCTTTTAATTTGTTTTAACTTTTTTTTGACCCACATTGCATGGTCATATTTGGCAAATAGTACAACTAATTTGAAGACAATAAAATGCAATATAACACCTACTGATCAATTATTATCATTTTGATTGTTGAAACTGTAGCATTTCTAATGTTTGTCCGTTTGCTATTTTTATTCTCTTTGCAAAAAAAAAAAAATTCCAGTGGAGGAAGGTTTTCAACCTTGACGTATTTTCATCTTTTTTGACTGTTTCTAACTACAGGTAAAGAAAGTAAAGTGGATTTTACCTGGCTGAGATTGAAGAATATCCCTATTGTTTCCTCCTCAATAAACTGATATTCCAGGTAGTTACTATAAATATAGTCATGTAATATGTGACCCCTTTAGTTGACTCCTTTCACTAGATTTAGAAATCCCATAAAAGAACACTTGCAGTGTGCATCCTAACATGAAATATCAAGGTCCTGTAGTATTTAGATTAATCTTAGCAGTTTATTTACAGAAGAGAGAAATAATTGAAAGGGAAGAGAAAACAACTAAGAGATAATAAATATAAAGGGGAACGAGCTGAGAGTTATCAGAAGGTACGAAGGGAAAACAAGAGAGCAAGTAACACATGGGGTTGCAGAGAAGAGGTGAGGAAAGAGATGGCTGTGATTGTGTCTTGCATTTAGGGCAAATATGACAAATAGAATTTGTTTTGTCTGAACTACAGCCTCAGTATTCAGGGTAATTGCAGTGCTGGCACTTGGCAACATGTAAGAGGATTTGGGTTGCTTCTCGGGTACTTGTCTTTAAAAGGTTCCTCACTGATCAAGACTCTGTAAATGATACTCAGCAGCACGCGACACACAATTACTTCAGGAGATTCACACAGTGGTAGAGGTAACAGAATGTTCAACTCCTTAACTACCTGCATGCTTATGACAGGAGCAAGTGGAGTGGAAATGTGCTCCAGGATCCTTTTCTTTGTTCCATGGATAACCCTCATTGTTTAACAGTGGAGGATGATGTAGGGACAAGCCATCTTGGTCCCGGTGAAAAGGCCTCCGGAGTTCTATCTGCAGTCACAGAGTTTCTATAACTGAGACCCTCCCATCTCCAAATGTTTCTCCTTGTATTCTCAGGGAATGTTGTAGCTCAGGTTTCTTTGAAGAGATTTGATTGGATGGCACAATTATCCATCCATCTCTTCCTGCTCTCAGAAATGGACAACTCCACAGAGTGGAAAATAAAAAAGAAAAGAGGAGGATGAGTTAAGGCCAAGTGTTTGTGCTACTTTGGGAGGTGCAAAGTGCTTGAAAGGCATACTGCAAAAGGAACATTCCTTGCCTAAGTGTGCGACAGCCAGCAAAGTAATTTCTAGCCTGTGCCACAGCTCTGCCTTTTCAGGACAGGTGCAACAGCGTCCCCTGCTGGCCGCTGATCTCAATTTCTCAAGTACCTCTGACACTCAGA